TTCCCCAGTGGAATAATCAAGTTCCATATAAGGATAAGAATTCACATTAAGTGCTGCTTCTGCACTCTTATCTAGAGAACACTGCCTCCAGCTGTGAACCAAGCTTGTTACCCTTAGGAAAGCCCCTCCAAGGAGCGCCACTCTGCTGTTTCCAAAACAAGAGAGGAGGGAAAGAATGAGGGAGAAGAGAAAAAGAAAGGATTTGTTCATTACTTTGAGTTCACCAACATAAGAGACGAAGATTGTGCAAGAAAAGTAGACACTAATTATTTTGAAACTTTTGAAACATCTGCTGAAGCAGTCAGTTATTTATTTACTTTATGACCTGTTCTGCTGTGAATTTCTTTTTTTGTTAAAAACATGTAGGTGAGTCGTCCCACATCCTTTACTGATCTGGGTTTCAGCCTGTTTTCCCTCTTTCCAAATCATCCTTTAGGAAATCTGCTTTGATTAATTCTGTTATAAGCAAACAAAGTAAATTTTAATTTAATTTTGAGATATTTATCATGATTTTCACATCACATGCATGTAATATACTGAATTGAATCAAGGTTAAATTTCATAAGGAGTTTTCACAGAAGGATGAAAGATAATTGTTACCTGATCAGTACTCAACACTAAGTATCTGACAATCAGTGGTTTTTTTTTTTTAAATAAACAAATAATGTATTGTTCGTCTTCCTAAGGAACTGGTATAATTTCTTTACACAAGACTCTATCCATAAGAGATTGGTTAAAGAAGAAAGAAGGAAAGCAAGCAAACACACACTAAAACCCAAATTGAAGAAACCCAACATAATCAATCTGAGCAATATTTTTTCAATGGTGATTTGGTGTCAGCAATTCAGTTCAGGCCTATCTAAATGTTACAGATGTTTGTATTTCCTACTGCTTCACTGATGGAAGTGAATTCATATAAACCATACCAAAGCCATTATGGATAACTGGTGGTAAAACTTTATTATTCAAGTTTAGATGTAACAGACATCTTTGCTGCCTGAAGATTGTTTGCATAAGAAATACACCAAGAACATGTTGTGAGTAGAAAAGAACATGCACTATGAAAACAAAATAAAATAAAACGAAAAAAAAAATTCCACGTGTTGTAAGAACAGAACTATTATAGCCAACAATCTAATATTCGAATCAGGACTACAAATTGAATTCTTTTTCTTATCAACATGAAATCATTCCATATGAAAGACATTTTCTGCTGGTGAATATTGCTGTAAGTTAGTTTTACATTGGCATTTTGAGATGTTTTCATTCCCACCCCACCCCCCAGATCAATCATATTGTTGTCAAATAGTACACCCTAAATTTGGCATTTGTTATTGTGATCTTTGCCTTGTTGGTAGCCATTAAGAAGCTATGCTTTTATCAGCCTTGTAATAGTTTTGCCTCTTCATAGTCAACACTATAGGCTGTTTATTTATGATATTTACAGCTCACCTTTAATAACAATGACCCCAACCTTTCTTGGCCCTTGGGAACTGAGAGTTTAAATAACCCCTTGGCCACATAATAATACTTGGCACTCCAATAGTGCCCTCCAACCAAGGATCTCAAAGTGCTTTACAAACAAGTACTACATTACCATTATTATTATTATTATCATTATTATTATTAATATACTTTTTCCATTTTACAGCTGAGGAACCTGAGGCACAGAAAGAAAGAGTGATTTGTTGTAGTCCATGTACTGAAGAAATAAACCAGGATCCAGTTTGGGGATTTGTGGGTCTGATAAAGGCTAAGCATTCTTTCCATGGTAAAGTTATTCTTGCTGTATTCTGGGTATAGGACAGCTTAAGCTTACCACACTAACTTTCCTTTCATGAGAATATGTAAGCCTACATTGTCCAGTTTCCATGTGTGGATTACTATTGAATTTCATGTTTCCTTTGTTCCTGCACTGACACATTTCTGTCTTTGCATCCTCAGAGGTTCTAACCACTGTAAATAACTGGAAATGCTTTAAAAACTGCTGCAAGTACTGTCAGGAAGACACAAGAACACTGTGAACCAGTAATGGACAACCAAAAGCAGCACTGTGCCAAGAAGCCAGTGTCTTTTGGCCTTGGCCAAGTCTTTGTGAGAATGCTGCTCCTCATGAGGGTCTTTCTAACCACTGTTTATTTATAGTCAGTTCCCTTCTGTTAGCATTCTACCTAACAGGACCTACCTTTGGTTAAGTAGGTATTTCAATCCCTTAGCTTCCTCCTGTCTAGCAAAGTCAGCAAACCTTTACCTACCAATCAGCCCGCAATGATGCCTTGTGTTATTTTGTACTGTTGCCTTCAACCCAAAGATGTATAGGCAAAAGCCTGGCATATGGTACAGAGGCAGTGTGACCACCAGCTTTTTCACATGATTCTACCTCAGGATGGCAGATGTTTATCCCTACAAAGATGTCTATGTTTGTTAACTAAGTAGACAGGCAGTATACTGGTCTCCAGCTTGGTTACTTTTGATGTTTTGTAGCCACACAACAAGGGGCTAGTAATTATTTTAATAGAAGTATGGATCATCTTCAGTATCTCAAGAAAAACATATTTCCTCAGGCATTTAAAATATATACATTGAATGTTTTTGGAGCTGTAATTGCATTGGATCATACTAGGTTATGTGCACAGGTGCAATCATAAACAGGGTGTACTACCACAGGCTTCCATAAAGAGCTCTGAAGGATAATCACTGTTTTCTTCTCATTATTAACTTAGAAAAGAATCCCCATGCTTGTTTTCTAGAGTCTACTTTTACTAAGAGAGCAGTTTAGAACAGAACATCACTATCTTAAAAGTGGATTTAACACAAAAAAACAGCATCTCAATGTCATGTAGAGAGAAGTGTCAACTCTTCGTGTTTCAAAATACAGAAAGAACGTGCTAACGCTGTGAGCTGCACCCCTTTCCCACGGACTTAGAGTCATGTAGTGTCTCTCAATCCACAGTCTTCTGAGGCTGGTTGGCTCTGTATCATCTCATATCCCAAACAACAGTACGTCTGTGAGGGTCGGTGATGATGAGAGAAAGTGAGAGAAAAGGAGGGCTGAGCCGAATTGGTTTTGGCCTGATGCTGGATCCAAAGCTCAGTTTAGAATAGAGACAAGTAATTTTAAAGACCTAACAGTTTGAAATGGTGTACAGTTTTGGATGGCCTAAAGTTTTCCATCGCAGGGAAAGCCTTTTCCAAGACAGAAAAAATCCTAAATCATCTTGAAAGTCCTTCAAGAAAGGTTAAGTACCTAAATTGCTCACTTAAAGTCATTCACAATTTAAGACAAAATGATTCAAAAACTGTCAAAATACTCTTGTAATATTTTTGAGAGCTGGAATCAAGGCTTCAGGTCATCAAAAAATGAGTACTTAGTGTTATGATAAACATCTATCTTATCATTAAAGCCCAACCTTTTCTCCACCAAAATATGCATAGTAATGTAAGCAAACATGAAAATAAAATAATTATCAATACAGGAATATGGAATAAGATCTATCATGCCAATGCTATCCAAGAATATTCTACTGGAAATAGACTGACCATAAATATTCCAAGAACAGTGATATGTATTTTCCAATGCTAGTAATTGCTACTATGTCTGTCTGAGAAAATAAAAAACAACAACAACAACAACAATTGAATGAAAAAAACAAAGGCATACACGCCAAGAATGAGCGATCTACTTGTGTCTAACACACTGTAGAAGTTACATGAGGATATGAAAGAAGTAATTTGTAATATTGCCCAAGATAACCAAATTTCTGAAAATCTGCTTACTTGGGCAGTCCACATTATAATGAAGCTTGAGGATTGCTACAGTGCATTTTAATATTCTTTTTATGAAGGAAGTTAAATATTGTTGTTTGGGAAATCTCTTTTTCAGATCTTTGTCACCTCTCAGATCTGGCTGTATATTCTGAGATGCATCTATCAAAATTCCTAAGAAAGATAAATTATGTCAAGTCATTTGAATGTCAGATCTCCTCATTCCACCTCTTTATTTCAGTTTATGTGAATAATAGAGCTACAGGACAGGACAAGTAAGATCAGAATAGGGCCCTTTAACAATGAAACCAAAGCAGAGGACTTAGTCCTGATTTTCTTTCTCTCAGTCTTTTTTTTTTCTTCCTTTTTTTCCTTTTTTTTTTTAAACATGAAAACAAAACAAAAAGATGCAGGAATGGGAATGACAGCACAATATCAGCAAGGTGCTTCGACTTCATTCACTACAACGTCACGAGCTGCTTGAACTCTACCTGCCATCCAATGCTAAGAAACGAAGACTTGCACTGTGAGAAAGAAACAAAACCCAAACAAAACAATACAAAGCAACTGCGAATTAATGTAAAAATGGAGTGCAAATGCGACTACAGAATGCAATGAATACATCAGCGCTGCAGATCACAGCGACAACGATCAAAACAGTTTCTGAAATGTTTCATCTGAAACATAGACAAAGCAATTAAAAGAGGATATATCTTTATCATCTTAAGCATAACAATGTGAGTTAAGAGCTTAAAAATTAAAAAAAAAAAGTACTTGGAATGAATAGTGCTACCCTTGTATCCTAAGTAGGCATAAAAATATTTGCATTTCCTTCTTGTTTCCATACCATTATATCGAGAACTTTCATTTGTTTCTTGTTACCGTTTACAACTTTAATGCACACACATACACACACACACACACACACACACACACACACACAGGTAGCTTGTCCTTACGCATCCACATGATAGAGATTTATCGAATGTCTTTGGATCTCTTCCATTCATCAATCATTTACTTCAGTGCTACTGCAATAGAAATAGTCGCTTCATTACCTTGTTTGCTACATTTGCAAATGTAAACAGCTAGGCAGAGCCAGAACTGACTCTAATGCATGATGGAATATCTTTGTTGCATACGTACACTGTAGAAAATAATTATTCAATATGTCAGGCACCATTATTTGAAATGTAATACATTAATATTTACTAGAAAAATAAGTTTTTTTCCTATTTGTTCTCCCAACTTCTTTAATGAAATAAGTTAATCTGACAGTGCATCCAGTAGCTTGTAATATCTTCTACATCTCCGTGGCAAAAAATAAACTACTGGTTGGGACAATATAATGCAAATTATTAAAGTCAGTCCTTGTACATACATCCTTGTAGCAAGCATTGAGGCTCGACTAACAGCACCTTTAACCAATTATTTAATGTTCAGTTATTTAGCCCTATTTCCCTGAGCAGTTATGCTGAGGAGCTTTCCCTTCATGGATAGTTTTTACAAAGCCTTAAGTATTAAAAGTACTATGAAGACACACTTCTAAGAATCCTATTTAATGCTACTTAACTAAACCTGTATAAATCTAATGAAGGGATTGATTGGTACATATACCAACTGTCAGTCTGTGGTAACGTAACCTTAGATGCTGCCTGACCACGAAGTTTGGAAATTATATTTAACCAAAAGAAAATAAATAAATACAGCAGGTTACCTTGTGAAGAAACATCATGTGCCCTAAATGAATTAAACCCATGGCCTGACATTTATATCCATCTATTTTTTTCCTTTTTGAAATGTGGGAGATTTCTTTAGTTACATTGTACCAAGTGAGATTAGTGACCAAGAGGAGACTTAAAAAATAAATCTGAACTGGTTCATCATAAACGAGAAACAATTATCTGGCTAAAATAAAATTATATAAGCATCGAGGACATTGTTTTTTAAAAATGGATATATTTGGGAAAAATTAATCTAAACTGCAAACAAAAGGATTACTGAGTATTGAAATATCTAAAGGACAAAAAATATCAAAGAGGGTGTGTATGTGTATGTACATGCAGGGCTGGCCAAAAATTATTGTGCCACCATCTGTCACGTTTCTTACTGCTCTCTTACCAAGCCTAACCACAGTTCACATTTCTAGGTCCAAATCTGAAACACGGTCAATAAAAGGGGACATATCTGAGAGGGTGTCATTACCTTTCATCACCCTAGAGGTTCAATTTCTTATCATTTGGCTGGGATTTTAAATTTAGCCAACCTTTTATGGGTTTTTTAATGAATGAGGCAATATCCAGCTTAATAGTTATTTTATATCATGATATGTAAACCCTTTGACACTGTAGACACTATTTGCTTTTTACAAACATCATAGTTCTAATTTGGTGGGCCTTTATATGGAATTTTCCCAGTACACATTGGCCAAGATAGTTTTGACTCACTAGGTTTAAAAAATGTAAGAAAAATTGTTCTCATCTCCCATTCTTTCTCACTGACCATATGTCTCACTTTTAAATCCTGGTAACCTACTCATTAACAGAAATAATTAAAAAAGAAGGGAATTTCATGTTGGATAAGGCAGGCTCTATGAAGTATTTTTTAATAGGTCTTCATAAGACATTACAAGCTATTGAATTCCCATCAAGAAAACCTATTTCTATTTAATTGTGCTAAGTGCTAAGGTTTTACTCTTTAGGTTTTCCATTTTTTTCTGCTTGTGCATTGTTCCTATGCAGGCCCCTCTGGATATGCGTTGTGAAGTCATATTTGTCCGTGCAAAGATGCTGGCATATGCTGCACTGGAAAGGTCCACTGTCACCATGGCAACTCATATGCAAAGCATACATCACTTCATCCAGAAAGACAATGCCACAGTGCACACATTTTGTTGAAAGTTCATCTTGAGTACTTCTGTCAACTTTCTCTGTTTTTACTACATTCAAGGGACCTTCATTTTTTACATTTGGTGGTGCCTTCGTTTTCTCCTTGGAGGCACCATTTGCAGTTGGCCCAGGTCTGGAATGCTTGATTGCCAAATCTAGAGGAATGTCATTGTCTGATCCAACAGCTGAAAAATGAGGAGGCAGATTGAAGGTGGGATAAGGCACATAGTTTTGGCAAGGATTTGGTAGGCCAGGCACATGACTCAAGTAGTGCGGATTCCCAGGAACGGAGAGCTTATATTTACTCCAGAACCGCAGCCAATCAGCTTCACTCTGGAAGTCATTATGTACAAAGGGAAGTCCAAAGAGTGGGTACTGGTACTTTTCAATAGGGCTGCCTGGTGGTGAATAATTGGGGTGTTTTGCAGGTCTCATGTACTTCTCTATGGGACTGCCTCTTTCAGCGCTTCCTTTCCCTTCAGATACGGATGAACTATTTCCTGGATCTCCAGTACTTTCCTGAGGACTCTTTATCTGAATGTGCAAAGGTTGCATCCTTTTGTGAATATCCAGAGTTTGGCTGACCAGGACTGGCTGCTGAGCAGAATGGCTTTTAGTCAATGAACCCTGGGCTTCGTATTTACTTAGGCTTGGAAGTGGAATTTCTCTCTGATGACTTTCGCTTAAGTGATCTTCTGACCGCCTCTCTAAAGGGCTTCCATTGACCTGCTCCTCACTGCTGCCCCTCTGTTGTTTGTTGAGCTGCTCAGCCTGAAGCGTCTCTGGGTTAAGACGCTTCCTTGTTCTTCTCCTAATAATCTGCTCACCGTTGTTTTGTTTAATGATGTTTAAAGGCCTGGGAGTCTGTAGAGAACACATATAATACATAAAAGGGAAACATTAAAAAATACATTAAATGCATTAAAAATTCCTCACAACTATAAACCATGCTTAAGTTCAAAGCAAGGGTAGGCTTTATGCTATAGATTTATTCAATCTCTTCTTTTTTTTTTTGCCCTGAGCAGGATCAGAGGAAGCAACCAAAGTGCATGGTTTTAGCCTAATTAAATCATGTCCATCTTGAAAGGGGGTAGGAGGGGTAGGGACAGAAAACTTTAATCTGCTTGAAAGCAGCTTTTCCAGACTCAATAGATTTGGGAAGTTGCATCATAAAAAAGAAAAAGTTGTGTGGGAAGTCACTTGAAGTAATGATTTTTCTAAAATATGCTCAGCTTTTGAATTGTGCACTAAAATGTCAACAAGTAACAGGGGAGGAAAGTACTGACAGAAGAGAAAAAAATTATGATCGCTGAAGCAAATTATGTTGTTCTCCTGGCTCAATCCTTTAACTTCCAATATGATGGTGTTTGGAACAGTCTCTTTAGGAAGAAATCAGGCATAAAGAAGGCCACACAGGTCTGACCCTAATCCAGTAACATTGTGACCTTATAAGTAAAGGAAAAGTGAGACTGCTCTCTCCAATACTAGAAGACCCAGCAAATAGGTGACCTTTTAAGTCCTCACCGGATCCAACTGTGCTAGCCCTTGGACTTCCAGCCTTCAGAACTGTGAGAAAATAATTTTTTCTTGCTTTAAGCCACCCAGTCAGTCCATGGTGTTTGTTAGAGCATCTTACACTGACTGATACATATTATCTTTCCAAAGAAATTCAAATGTGAATATAAAATACTCAGAGTCTATATAATCAAATGCAAATTGTTGTCAGAATTATAAGGAAGACTATCAGGTAATCAAAGACACACCACAGGGATGAATTTTGCCTCTCGGTTTTCTTTTTTTCCTTGAATGGACTCCATACATTCATTATGGAAGACTTTAGTTGCTAACAGGTAAAGCATTAGCTGTGTGTTGGAAATCTAAATTCATTTGTAACTTCAGTTCAAATACCTGATCTGTCATTGTACTTGACTTAAAATGAAGGCTGACTTTCATTTCCTTGAGCATTTTATTTAGCCTAGACACTACATGGTTGGTACTTATGGACATGTTTAACAAGTATTTATATTACATTACAAAATCTGTAGATAAGACTATAATAAAAACTTTGCGTGCAGAAGGACTTTAATTTTGATTTATAAAATGAGACGAGGACATTTAATAAATCAGCCATGTATATCTGTATATTAAATTTTGGAACAATGTTCCTATGGTTTGAATTTGCAAACAATTACTGATAATTTTTGCATATATGAATGTATATCTATAATCTGTGAATAATTCACATATATACATATATACTTCAATAAAATGGGGAATATTTTAAATATTAAAATACAAATAAGAATGTTTGGGGGAATAGTTCTGTTGTCCTATAATAGACTGAAGGGAAAAAAAACCACGTTGTTATTGGTGATTCAATTACTAGTTTCAGAATGAAACATTGATTAGGTGGGATACAGGCATTTATTCTGCTGAGAAAATTTAGGTTTATAAAGTCTTTCTATTAGTATCACAAAAATAAAGTTTTTAATTTTTACATTATGAAGAAGCCTGGAGTTTAACTCTTTTTCAAACTTTTATAACTTTTGGGGATGCTTGTGTATGAACATATTCTTTATGTATTTCAAATTTATGGTAAATAAAAAAGAAAACCTCAAAGGTAAAATCATCTCATCCCTGGAGAGATGAATATTGAAATATGTTTTAGAAAATAGTTTCTAGCACAGTAGTTAAATTATCATAATTTGGCTGAGCAGCAGTTTAATTAATTTTTGGCCTCTGATTGGCCATAGTTCAATTAAAATCACTAATTAATATTAACATTAAACGGAAGTTTGTTGCTGTGCTTAAAAAGTGAATGTTCAAAAAATGTAAAGTGGTAGTAGGGGGCTTTCTAATAGGTACATGCTAATAATGAACAGTTCTTACAGTATTCTCAATCAATACTGTTTTAGGAGTGTTTCCAGTGTCCATTTATGAAAATGTTGTCTCAAACTGTATTCCCTGTAGTGCTAATCCATTCACTGGCCTGTGCTAAGAGCTATGGTAAAATGCCAAATAAAATGAAAAAGGCACAAGGAAACAGATTTCTGTTCACTAAGTGGGACATTTCTGTTTGAAAATCAGCTCTTGTCAGCAGATAAACTCTGTAAACTATTAAAAAAAATAACTTCAGGGATTGAAAAAGTCATACTCAGGAGAATCTAGTTTACATTTTATTACAGAGTTCTAACTAAAATTGGGGCAAAATGAATTCAAATGACTTCTGTGAGCCTAAACCAGATGGAGAGTTCTGAACTCAGAGCACCTCTGCCCCATACCCTGTGCCAAGCGCCTGTTATTTAAGGTCTCACACACCTCCCTTCCACAGCCCCTGGAATCCTGTGGTATTCTCCAGTGCTAGTGCTTGCCCTTTCCCTTCCAAACAGCCAAGGTAGCACTTGTGAATTCCAAAGGGAAAACTGAAAAATAAGCATTCACTCTTGGGAGAGTCCTATTTCTTTTTTTTTTTTTAATTGAATTTTTGCGATTTTCATACCATATAGTTTGATGGTATTTAGATCAATTCCCCTGTCTGACCTTCCTCTCTTTGCTCTTGAAATTTTGGAAGTTTCTGTTTTCTACCTAAATTAATTCCAGCAAATTCAGATAACTATTAGTTCTACTATCTGTTCCCGAAGTTCCCAGAAATCAATCATTTTCCTGTTTTATAGCAAAAGGAGGAAGGCATTACTAATGATCTCAAATGTATCTCCCCATAACATCTAAGCCCCTTTCACTATAAATCGCATGTGTACTCGCAAGTGACTGTATTAAACAACCCCGTGGGGCAGGCAACATAATCTCGGACTTATCACATCACAGAACAGTCCTGCTCAGCTGTATAAGCTTCTCTGAACCAATGGGGTGAGTCCTTACCGAGTGAAGTTTCTGGTAGAGGCCACATGCATTGCATACATATCCGCCATTTGCATTCTTTCTCCAGAGAGAGGTCTTTGTGGTCAGGCAATTGGCACAAAAAACACCGGAGCCTCTTCGCCTCTGAAATGAGAGGGAAAAAAAAAAATTCAAGGTCAGAGGTGAGTCACATGATCAGTGGAGTTAGACCAAATCAACCCAGGAGTTTTGTCTTTAGACTTACAACAATGACAGTATAAAACCACACTGCCCATAATGAGGTCAGGTTCAATTGTGTTTAATAGGCACCACTGATTTTCATTATAATTAACTATACAGTGATGGATGAGGTGTGTGGAACACCAAAGGCTTTTCACAGAAACAGCTTTAACTTTTTGAACTTTGGGTTTTGTGCCTTTAATGATGGTTCCTAAATGCTGAACCCTAAAGCATACCTTTTAAAAGTGTCAAAACAGAAGTAAAAAAGACAGCACATGGCAATACGTTTAATGCACTTTGGAATATGCTACCTGAGCCTTCAAATATAGTCAAGCTTGGAAAAATGCAGCATGGAAACCATTTAACATTGGATCCGACTGATGCCTTTTTTATATGTCATTCCTATGACAAAAGTATTAAGAGAATAAAAGACGATCAATTCTCATGTTTCCATTGTAATTAGGAACTATGAAAGTGATTGCCCTCTATTACCTGAAGCTGGAAGGGCCTTTAGACACTTCTAGAACAGTGTTGCTATGAGAGCCCTTAGCAGGAGCCCCCTGAAGCTAGACTACACTGTTCCGTCGCTGGCTCTTCTATTTATTTTATTTGACTTCACTTTGGAAATCACAAGAGTGTACTGAATACTAAGTTGCTTTTAGAGGTCTGAATTCTGCACTCACCAGATTAAAAAATAAGAATATTAAAAGTAGGTAATTAGTATTGCTGGTTGAATTCTTGCTATTAAGTAATGAGTCTACTAAACTTCTCATTTAAACAAAACTTAGGCTGTGTATAGAAGCACAAATAGTAACAGGTAGGAAACAGAATACTCTTGCTGAAGAAAGAAAAAAAGAAAAAAATATCAGCCCGAATTGTGGCTCAACTCTCCTTTTGCTAGGGATCAAACCTTAAATGATAAAATATACATGTTAGATAAAGAGTGGAGAAAAGTCTTGTTGGAATCTAATTTTATTTTAAATTAAATATTACAAACACTATAAGTCAAAATTTCAGGGATTCATAAAATTTAGGCAATTTATTTAACTCGAGTCTATACCGTAGAGGAGTAGTATGCCTGCCAAGAAAATACAATGGTTATAATTGTACTCTGATACATTTCAAATGGAAAGCTTTCTGCAGACATAATTTTGGCTTCAAGACTGGAACACTTTCTTGGCATTGAAAGGGCATTTGATTCATCGGGTGTTTCACAATGTATCACTAAAAAGACCTGGTGAGCAGCCAGTTCCCTATAGGGTAATTTTTCCATCCAGATGCAAGTGCTATCAGAGGCCCTCGTCAGCTAAACTAATTATGATCTTGCAATTGCTGATGCCTGCTCACTCTAACATTCGACATCCTCCATTAATCATCAATACAAGGAAAATGAATGAAACGTAAAGAAATGCGGGCTGCTAAGCTGCACAGCTATAAAAATCCAAACTGAGAGCAATAACTTAACAAGATTGGGGGATGTTTTTAGTGAGCACAAAAGTCAGGCTAACAATTGCCCTTTTAAACCAAGAACACGATTTCATTAGTGTGGCATGCCGTGCCACTTGAAGTGATGTAATAAAAGCTAGATTTTCACAAAGATAATTTCCAGCTCCCCTTTTCCTGCCTCCCCAACCCTAGTCAAAGAGGAATGCAATGAGCATTTCCAAATCTCCACAACAGCAACATCAAACAGTGGTGTCAGAGGTCTGTGGGTCCCAACTGGGATCTGCTGCTGAGGGCGCACTGTTGCCTCCCAGAAACCAATGAGCTATTCAAAGCTGTGTTTATCAAACAATCCCAGCCCCCTTCATCCGAGGTAACCTGGAAAGCCTTGGTTAGGTTATAACTGTCAAACTAGCTGGGGTCATCCTGTCATTTTTCTAGATCTAAATAAGTCAATAGTAAATCAACTCCAATGTGAGGCACATACAGGCAGTATCAGTGTTCATGCCAAAAGTAACCCATATATATAGTTGAGGCTGCTCAAGTTTGAATGTGTAACCATTCACTCCAGACTGCTTTCCTTTACTTATGCCCTGAGTGCCTGACACAGCACTCCAAAGTGGGCATAATCCTGATTTCAGTGAGTATTCCAATTCTTGCACAATTTGATATCTAATTCTCTTGCAAAGAAAATGTCCTTCATTAGTTAGGGGGAATATTCTGAAATTATAGCACTGGTTTCACAGGCATATCTTGCACTAAGCAATCATGTGTACTCCAGTAGAGAATACTGTATTTTAGGACACACCATCTCTTATTCTAAATATATCAGGCGTACTTTGTATTCTCTTGAAGTCAAGATGCTTTAGGGGCTAAGAAACAGACCGAGGAGTCAGACCATAGTACTCCAAATGTTATCGGCCATTTACTATGAACAACACTGGGAAAACTCCCATAACCTCTCAGTACTGTTGCCTTTTCTGTCTTTACAGTATTAGCTGTTGAAAATACTGGTGTATTAATATATACTATTAAAGTAATGGCAGAAATGTGATAGCTTGATTGGTAAATGCTCAGTGAGTTTAGCTATTGTGACTTCTTTTATATGGAAAAAATGTTTAATCTCATTTTTGTCTCCTTAAATGTCACTATTGAACATTTGAGACATGCTTAAATCATACAGTTGTGTACTATCAACTGTATTTCATTTGTATCTTTCTTATCAAATTTGAGAATGGAAAGTTGAGTCAGAGTGAAATATTGAGGTGTTCACACCTCCAATTCAATAGGAGCCTGCTCTCATGGGAGTGGAGAGTGGGAGGTAGGTGAGAAGTATTACACACATGAAACGGTAACTCCCAGCACTTTTATAAGTGTTGTAAAACTATATTTGGGGACACTAACATTTCTGGAAGCAGTAGGCATGGTGTGAGAATTGTCATTGTCCCTAGGGTGGTGACCTGAGATCCACATCTCTCTTAAGCACAGACAAGAACGCTGGCTGGACACCGGGAGGCATTTCTCTGAAGCTGTGTACACCCTGAACGGAGTCAGGAGAGAAAACCAGCCTGCTACCTAAGGAAGGCAAAACAGAGACCCCTGCCCCACTTTAAAAACAAGCATTGCCCTAACTTAAAAAAAAAGAAAACCTCTAAAGACTTCATTTCAATCATAGGTGATTCTGTGTGCAGTTTCTTAGATATTTTGTTTCTCTTTTTTTTTTTATCTTTTATAATGACTGTGTTAAGACTAAAAACCATGGGGCTGGAAAGATGTCTCAGTGGTTAAGAACACTGGTTGTTCCTGCAGAAGACCTAGGTTCGAATTCCAGCATCCACATGGCAGCTGACAACTGTCTGTAACTCCAGTCCCAGGGGATCTGACAGCCTCTTCTGACCTCCTCGGGCATTGCAAGACAGGGGTGCACTTAACTAGATGCAGGAAATACACGGATATACACACACACACGCACACACACACACACACACACACACACACACACAGAATAAAAGCCACGTATTTCAATAGCCATTGAATATTTAAATGGTAGACACCAAGAACAGTGTGCTCTCTCTCTCCTCACTCTCTCTCTCTCTTTTTCTCTCTCTCTCTCATGGGCAAATATCAACAATGCTGAAAATAACCTTGTTTGCTGTTATTTTCATCATTAATATTCACTTTTATTCTTGAAAATAAAATTTTAATCATTTAAATGTGTTCCATTCAGATTAAGAAACTTAAAATGGAGATAAGGTGGAGATAGTTAATGATGATGCAGAAAATAAATCAAGAAAAGTCAATGTCTACTCCTGCTTCCACTCTTATTTTTGAGAAGTACTGATGTAAGGTTCTTGGTCTATTCTGGGGTTACTAGGTCAGGTAAAGACAAAGCCCCTACTCTCCATTATGACAGATGTACATTACTGATGGCTCTGAATATGCATGTGTATCTTTAAACTGCCAGTTTCACCATTTCCTACATGCGGTTCTTAAGAGAAAGTAATAACATGTACTGCTGTGACCCTGTGCTGCAGAGTAGAGAATCACAGGTCTGGGATAGGAACAGTAGAGGGAGAGGAAATGAGAGGGGTAAGAAGCTGGTGGGTCACACCAACTGGCATTCCCGAGGGATGTACTTAGCACCCATCTTTTCTCTCTGAAGGAAGGAAAGCTGACTACTTACATATCTTGAGACAACACAGATGTATTCTCGGCCCTGAGATTCTCTAAGCACATTTTCTGTTTCCACGTGGGTTTGTCTAGTGGTTGCTACAGTGATGGAAGATTGTCCCCCAATTCCAAACATCCATAAAAGTCAGTTCAGCCATAAATTTATAGTCAAAAGTTTCTATAACCAGCAAATTTAAGGAATAAAATATCTTCAGTATTTAGGTTTGCAGCAAATCACTGTAGGAATGAGTGACATTAAAGTTTTTCAAAATATCTGATAAATTCTGCTTCGGTGTGCTTAATTCCCCAGTTAGCTATATATCCTTCTCTGCTCATATTTGATTTGATACAGATACTGGTAAATCCAGATATAACTGATTTAGCTGTTTTTATTACTTATTTTGTTCTACTACTTGAGGATCAGGCAAAATAAAAATTTTAGGGTTTTCATGTTCCATTACTAGGAAGAAATGATTTCATTTGATTAATAAAAAGAAAATTTGATTGAATTATTTATTCAAGTGGCTTAACATTCAGAGACACAAGTATTCACTCTAAGATATTAAAAGTCTCCATTGGTGAAGGAATGTGTGCATAAATGATCTTTTATAATAGTTTTCTATGAATAAGAACCATTCTGAGACCATGTAATCACATAACAAGGTTTGATAGGGAGAGTATTTGCTCACATTTCTTATGGTTTTATATCTTAGCCATTTTAAATTAAATCAATCTGAAATATGATATACGTGCTGTTAGTCTGGATGTACCTCAAAAATTTTTAACTCTTTAAATATTTTCTGTGTTTATTT